ATGTGGTATGTTGGGCGTTGGTTATTAGGATTTGAGTGGCGGACATTTGTTGGAGTGGATGGCTTTGCATACGGCAAGACGGGCAGCTAATGTTGGAGGAAGGTGAGGGGTTCCGTATGTGGAGCAGTGTGTCATTTTGTGGTTGAGCAGGTATTTAGTGGTTCGTTTGAGGAATCGATGCGGTGGTGTGGGTGCGGGGTAATGGAAGCTGGATACTGTGTGCTGGTTCATGCTAGGCTGCGTAGCGTTCAGCTTATATTGCCACACAGATGGTGCGGATGAATGCAAAATGAGGCGCATATGCGTATTGAGCACTGGCGGGTATTTAGCAGCTGCAGCGCTGAGTGGGAAATGGGGGGAAGCTAAATGGGGGTAATATAGTGTACAGTGCGTGACAAGAAGCAGTGGTGCGTTTGAGGAAGCGATGCGGTGGTGTGCGTGCGGGGTAATGGAAGCTGGATACTGTTAGGTGGTTCATGCTAGGTTGTGTAGCGTTCAGCGTAATGTGCCACACAGGATGTGCGCATAAATGCAAGATGAGGCGCAAATCCGTGTAAAGGACTGCGCTGGATTTGGCAGCTGCAGCGATCTATATAGAGTGGATGATGGGGTGAAGGTAAGTGGGGGTAATATAGGGTACAGTGTGTGAGAAGAAGCGGCGGGTGTTTGAGTATGGGTTGTGATTAGAAAGGAGACGAAGTGGTATGTTGGGAGTTGGTTAGGAGGATTTGAGCGGGCGATATTTGTTGGAGTGGGTGGCTTTGCATAAGGCAAGACGGGCAGCTAACGTTGCAGGAACTTCAAGTGTTGTTTTTGTGGAGCAGTGTGTCATTTTGTGATTGAGCAGGTATTTAGTGGTGCGGTTGAGGAAGCGATGCGGTGGTGTGCGTGCTGGGTGATGGACGCTGGATACTGTCTGGTGGTTCATGTTAGGCTGTGTAGCGTTCGGCGTCTATTGCCACGCAGCGAGTGCGAATAATTGCAAGATGAGACGCAAACGCGAGGTGAAAGCTAGGGTGGATTTGGCAGCTGCAGCGCTGTGCATTGAGTGGGGATGGCGGGAAGCTAAACGGGGGTAATATAGTGTAAGGTGGGTGACAGGAAGCGGCGGGTTTTTGAGTATGGGTTGTGATTAGGAAGGAGGCGAAGTGGTATGTTGGGCGTTAGTTAGGGGGCTTTGAGTGGGCGATATTTGTTGGAGTGGATGGCTTTGCATACGGGAAGACGGGCATCTAATGTTGTAGGAAGGTCAGGGGTTGTGTGTGTGGAGCAGTGTGCCAGTTTGTGGTTGAGCAGGTATTTATTGGTGCGTTTGAGGAAGCGATGCGGTGGTGTGCGTGGGCAGTAATGAAGACTGGATACTGTTCGGTGGTTCATGCTAGGCTGTGTAGCGTTCAGCGCATATTGCCACACAGCTGGTGCGGATAAATGCAGGAAGAGGCTTAGCTTCGTGTTTAGCACTGCATTGAATTTGGCAGCTGCAGCGAAGTGGATTGCCTGGGGGTTGGGGAACAGCTACATTGGGGTAATATAGTGTAAGGTGTGTGAGAAGAAGCGGTGGGTTTTTGCGTATGGGTTGTGTTTAGGAAGCGGCCGAAGTGGTATGTTGGGTGCTGGTTGGGAGGATTTGAGTGGCCGATATTTGTTGGAGTGGATGGTTTTGCATACGGCAAGACGGTCAGCTAATGTTGGAGGAAGGTGAGGGGTTGTGTTTGTGGAGCAGTGTGTGATTTTGTGGTTGAGCAGGTATTTAGTGGTGCGTTTGAGGAGGCGATGCGGTGGTGTGCGTGAGCGTTAATGGAGGCTGGATACTGTTTGCTGGTTCATGCTAGGCTGCGTAGCGTTCAGCGTATATTGTCACACAGCAAGTGCGTATAAATGCAAGTCGAGGGGCCTATGCGTGTTTTACCCAGCATTGTATTTGGCAGCTGCAGCGCTGTGCATTGAGTGGCTCGTGCGGGGGGCTAAGAGCGGGTAGTATAGTGTAGGATGTGTGACAAGAAGCAGCGGGTTTTCTAGTATGGGTTGTGTTTAGGAAGAGGCGAAGTGATATGTTGGGAGTTGGTTAGGAGGATTTGAGTGGCGGATGTTTGTTGGAGTGGATGGCTTTGCATACGGGAAGACGGGCAGCTAATGCTGTAGAAAGGTGATGGGTTTTGTATGTGGAGCAGTGTGTCATTTTGTGGTTGAGCAGGTATTTGGCGGTACGTTTGAGGAAGCGATATCCCGGCAGGCGTGCAGGTAATGGGGGCTCGATACTGTTAGGTGGTTCATGCTAGGCTGTGTAGCGTTCAGCGTTTATCGCCACACAGCAAGTGCGGCTAAATGCAAGATGAGGCGCTTAGCTGCGTGTTGAACGTTGCATTGGATTAGGCAGCTGCAGCGCTGTGGATTGAGTGGGGGGGATGGCGAAAGCTAAATTGAGCCAATATAGTGTAAAGTGGATGACAAGAAGCGGCGCGATTAGGTTAGGGCTGGTGTTTAGAAAGGAGGCGAAGTGGCATGTTGGGAGTTGGTTAGGAGGATTTGAGTGGCCGATATTTGTTGGAGGGGGATGGCTTTGCATACGGCAAGACGGGCAGCTAATATTGGAGGAAGGTGAGGGGTTGCGCATGTGGTGCGGTGTTTTGTGGTTGAGCAGGTATTTAGTAGTGCGTTTGAGGAAGCGATGCGGTGGTGTGCGTGCGGGGTAATGGAAGCTGGATACTGTTTGGTGGTTCATGCCAGGCTGTGTAGCGTTCAGCGTATATTGCCACACAGCTGGTGCGGATAAATGCAAGATGAGGCGCATATGCGTATTGAGCACTGGGGTGGATTTAGCAGCTGCAGCGGTGTGGATTGTGTGGGGGTGGGGGGAAGCTAAATGGGGCTAATATAGTGTGAAGTGGGTGGAAAGAAGCGCCGGTGTTTTTAGTATAGGAACTAGGCGAAGTGGTATGTTGGGAGTTGGTTAGGAGGATTTGAGTGGCGGATGTTTGTTGGAGTGGATGGCTTTACATACGGCGAGACGGGCAGCTAATGTTGTAGGAAGATTCGGGGTTGTGTTTGCGGAGCAGTGTGTGATTTTGTGATTGAGCAGGTATTTAGTGGTGCGTTTGGCGAAGCGATGCGGCGGTGTGCGTGGGCGTTAATGGAGGCTGGATACTGTTTGGTGGTTAATGTTCGGCTGTGTAGCGTTCAGCTTATATTGCCACGCAGCAAGTGCGGATAAATGCAAGCAGAGGTGTATCGTCGTGTTAAAGGCTGCATTGAATTTGGCAGCTGCATCGTTCTGAGCTGAGTGGGGGTGAAGCAAAGCTAGATCGGGGTAATATAGTGCGCGATGTGTGAGAAAAAGCGGCGGGGTTTTGAGTACGGGCTGCTATTGGGAAGGAAGTGAATTGGTATGTTGGGAGTTGGTTAGGAGGATTTGGGTGGGCGATATTTGTTGGAGTGGATGGCTTTGTGTACAGCAAGACGGGCAGCTAATGTTGTAGGAAGGTGAGGGGTTGTGTATGTGGAGCAGTGTGTGATTTTGTGGTTGAGAAGGTATTTAGTGGTGCGTTTGAGGAAGCGATGCGCAGCAGTACGTGGGCGGTAATGGAGGCTGGATACTGTGTGGTGGTTCACGCTAGGCTGTGTAGCGTTGAGCGTATACTGCCACGCAGCAAGTGCGCCTAAACGCAAGCAACGGCGCATCGTCGTGTTAAGGACTGCATTGGATTTGGCACCTGCATCGGTGCAAGCTGAGTGAGGGTGGGGTGGGGGAAGCTAAATTGGTGCAATATAGTGTAGAGTGTTTGACAAGAAGGGGGGGGTTTTTGAGTATGGGGTGTGATTAGGAAGGAGGCGAAGTGGTATGTTGGGAGCTGGTTAGCAGGATTTGAGTGGCCGATATTTGTTGAAGTGGATGGCTTTGCGTACGGCAAGACGGGCAGCTAATGTTGGGGGAAGCCGATGGGTTGTGTATGTGTAGCAGTGTCATTTTGTGGTTGAGCAGGTATTTATTGGTGCGTTTGAGGACGCGATGCGGCGGTGTGCATGCGGTGTAATGGAGGCTGGATACTGTGCGCTGTTCATGCTAGGCTGTGTAGCATTCGGTCTATATTGCCACGCAGGAAGTGCGAATAAATGCAAGATGAGCTTTAGCTGCGCATTGAACACTGCATTGGATTTGGCAGCTGCAGCGCTGTGGATTGTGTCGGGGATTGGGTGAAGGTAAATGGGGGCACTCAAGTAAGGAGTGTGTGACAGGGATCGGCGGGTTATTGCGTATGAGTGCTGTTTAGGAAGGAGCCGAAGTGGTATGTTGGGAGTTGGTTGGGCGGAATTGAGTGGTCGATATTTGTTGGAGTGGATAACTTTGCATACGGGAAGACGGGCAGCTAATGCTTGGGGAAGGTGAGGGGTTGTGTATGTGGAGCAGTGTGTGACTTGGTGTTTGCGCAGATATTTAGTGGTGCGTTTGAGGAAGCGATGCGGTGGTGTGCGTGGGGGGTAGTGGAAGCTGGATACTGTTTGCTGGTTAATGTTAGGCTGCGTAGCGTTCAGCGTATATTGCCACGCAGCTTGTGCGGATAAATGCAAAATAAGGCGCATATGCGTGTTAAGGACTGCATTGGATTTGGCAGCTGCATCACTTTGGGTTAACTGTGGGCGGGGTGGAGCTAAATTGGGGCAACATGGATGCTTAGCTGCGTGTTAAAGTCTGGGGTGGATTTGCCTGCCGCAGCTTTGTGCATTGCGTGGGTGGTGGAGTGAAGCTGAATGGGGGTACTATATTGTAAAGTATTTTGAGAGGAAGCGGCGGGTTTTTGAGTATGGGTTGTGATTAGGAAGCAGGCGAAGTGCTATGTTGGGAGTTGGTTGGGAGGATTTGAGTGGCTGATATTTGTTGGAGTGGATGGCTTTGCATACGGCAAGACGGGCAGCTATTGCTGGAGGACGGGCAGGGGTTGTGTATGTGGAGCAATGTGTAACTTTGTGGTTGAGCAGGTATTTAGTGTTGCATTTGGGAAAGCGATACGCTGCTGTGGGTGCGTGGTAATGGAGACTGGACACTCCGCGGTGGTTCATGCTAGGCTGTGTAGCGTTCAGCGGATGTCGCCAAACAGCAAGTGCGAATAAATGCAAGACGAGGCGTAGCGGCGTGTTGAGCACTGGGGTAGATTTCGCAGCTCCAGCGCTGTGCACTGAGTGGGAAATGGGGGGAAGCTAAATGGGGGCAATATCGTATAACGTGGGTGACAAGAAGCGCCAGGTTTAGTTTAGGGGTTGTGTTTAGGAAGGAGGCGAAGCGGTGTTTGGAGTTGGTTAGGAGGATTTGAGTTGGCGATATCTGTTGGAGTGGATTGCTATGCATACGGCAAGACGGGCAGCTAATGTTGGAGGAAGGTGAGGGGTTGTGTATGTGGAGCAGTGTGTGATTTCGTGGTTGAGCAGGTATTTA